GCCGTGCCCCCGCAGTGGGCCTGCACTCGGCCGCGCAGCCGTACCCGTGGTGTCCGGGCGGTTGGGCTGCCGGTAAACTGGAACCCACAGAGCGATCTTGGCACCAGCCGGGCGGTGACCCCGGAGCCACGTAACCCTGCGGCGGCACACGGGCAGGCCCTGTCCCCCCCCAGCACACACCCCGCCAGGCCTAAACCCGGCTCCTCCGTGGCGTCTCTGCAGCAGATGCGAGCGGGCAAAGTGGTTTCATACAGCACCTGTGCAGCGTGCGGCCGCGGTTTGGATCCGGTAAAGCCTGAAACCGTCAGCTGCATGGTTGAACCATGGTCTGGTGCAAAGCGATTTTCTTCGATGGCTGTTAGGAAGTATCAGAGTGATGACAGCAACCCTGGGCAGACAGGAGGGGCTTTCCTTCTGCTAGAGGCACCTGAAATGACCCCTCTGACAATTGTTTGAAGGGGTTGATGTGCCGAGCAGTTTTTGTGTGGCAGAACTAGCAACGGGCAGCCCAGGCTGCGCTGTGCCAGGATTTGTAATGGTCCTCTGTGCATCCAAGGGGAGAAGTCTGCAGCCACAGCCTCGCTGCTGAATCATTAACTTCCCTCCTCTGAGTCACTCTGCAGCCCTGTCACACACAGAACCGACATGAGCAGGGCTCAGGTGAGTAGTGGCTCAGGGACGATAGCACCAGGGTTAGAAAAACTGTTTGCAGGATGAAAGATGGAGGCTGTGTCTGCAGAACCAGTGAGCACCTGCTTGGACTAACCAGAGATACCGATTTTGACACAGAGCCAGGACCTGCATCAGCAGCTGGGGCTGGGCCTTATGTATTAACCTCTGGGAGGTGACTGGTTACGCTGATAAAAAGGTGAGGACTGAGAATTAAATTCAGGAGATGGTGGGACGTGTTAATGTAAATGCTAAGTAAAGTCTCACGGGGGGCAAGTGGCATGGGTGTTCCTCTCCAGCCTTGCTAAGGCACAGCTGCAGTTAAACAAAGCACAGCCTTCTCCAAAGTCTATTACCAAAGCTGCTCAAAAAAAGTTATTGTTGTTTATCTTGCCATGACACCCGGGAGCTCCTGTGAGGATGAGGCCCTGCTGCACTGAAAACTTTGCAGAAACAAGTGCTGTACAGTTATTTTTGTCTGGATTTAAGCCTTGCCCTGCAGTGTTTGCCAACTTTAATGTGGTAGCACAACTCCAAGGCAGGAGAGTCCGAAAGGGAAACAGACCGGGGGCTTTGTTGGGTAAGCCAATTTGAAATGCAGGGAAGGAAGTGAAACAATGTGAAACATTAATCACTTCTTCCAAAAAAACCCTGCCTTTTGTTCTTGCAGTCTAGATATGCCTACTGCTGGGGAAGGGAGGGGAGGACGGCAGGCTTTACAATGTGGTTAGACTGGCAGCATGTTAATGCAGTTACGTTCGCTCTCCGGGTTTGGTGTGAAATCCCATTGTGACGATGGCACGGAGCACTGCTGGTGTTTTCTGAGCCGTGCCACTAACATCAGCAGACCAATGGCCAAAAGCAGCAGCATTGTGAACACCTGGCTTCCTGCTGCAGGGGGGGCCGAGCACCGGTGCAGGCTGTACTGCACAGCTGGGAGACCGAGGCAGACGCCTTGTGCTGAAACACCCAGGTTTTTTTCTCTGCTAGTTGCAGACCCACAAGGAGACACCTGGCACAGCAAGCTCAGTGCCTTTTTTATTCATGCACATTGTTGCTCAGCACTATTCAGAGTTACACATGCAGTAGTGGTTAAAAGTTTGCTTGATCTGATTTACAGTATTGCCCACAGGCATAGTAACCATTATGAGGGCACTAATAAGAGTTTTGCATAACATGTTGATGGCTGCTCCTGTTTATCCCTTGCCTCTTTTGTTATGCCTCAGCCCACATCTGGTTTCAAACAAATGCCTTTCTTAGGTGTGGGCCTTGGAAAACTGGCATGAACCCATGGATGGTGCCTGGGCTGAAGGCAGAGCCGCTGGAGGAAGTGGAACACATGGCGGTTCCTGGGGTCAGCTCATTGGGAAGCTCATGCTGAGACGAATTTGCTTTTATGTGTCCGGTTTTCCTAAAATTCTCCTTGTTTTGGAGAGTAGTTGTTTCCGCATCAGGCATGGCAGAACGGCCAGATATGGAGCACTCGGCACACACAGTGCCATGGGGAAAAAAATACCTCCTTGAAGAGCTCAGCAGTTCATGCCGGCACTGGGCAGTGGGGAGGGAGGTGCGAAAAACTCAGGTGAGGGTGGATTTGTCAGTGGGGGCTGTTTTAAGTACAGCCAGTCTGTTACCGTGGGCTGGAGGGAGCAGGACTCAAAGGCGAGGACACCAACGAGGGACAGAGGAGCAGGTCACGCTGTGAGAAGCTGGAGGACATTCAGCCCGAAGTAGTGAGAGAGGAAGAAATGCAGGATGCCCAGGGCTGAAGCTGCAGTGAGAATCCAGAGAACTCCAGCACTGAAGTATATTGGGGTGAGCCTGGTGGGAGAGAGCGACCCTGTGAGCCCGAGCATCGCTGCCCTCGCCCGGGAACAGTCCCTTCCTCTCTGCAGAAGGGGGGTGGAAAGGCAGCCCCCGGCTGTCCCCTGTCCCCTGTGTGGGTTCCTGTGCCCTGCTCCTACTTCGAGGGAGCACACACCTACCCGCAAGGGCTCGGGGAAGCTCCAGCCTTGTCCTGTAACTGTGTCTCTGTCCCAAGCCCTGTGCCCATGCCCACATTATGCCCCAGCGAGAGCTTGGTAAGGCTCAGTCATGCAGGGACCCCAGAGCAGCCAGAGGAAGTCCTGAGCTTCTCTGAAGCAATATGTTTCCAAATGCAAACCCCCAGGGGTTACCAGGCTGGTATCCCAGACTGGCAGAGGTGTTTACCTTTCTGAAGACGATGTCCTGTATCCCATAAAGTAGCAGTAGCGGACGTAGAGATAGAGCAGACCCAAGGCTGCGGCCAGACCTGTAGTTGACAGAGATCAGAGTGACCATCTCCAAAGATGGAGCTACTTTAAGCCAAGTAGGTAGCCCAAAGTGAAGGAACAGAGGCTTTGTGTCCTCTGGCTCTACCCTCCCATCAGAGACAGAATTACTGCCTAATTTATTGTTTGGAGGGTGAGCAGGACCTGAGGACTGAGCCAGCACACGGGGGAACAGATCCAGGGACAAACCAGGTAACAGGCTATTCTGACCTTGATGGAAGAAGAGTCCAGCCTGCCACAGAAGTGCCAGGAAAATGGGAAAATACTCAGAGGAGTTCACCCTGGCAGGAAAGAGGAAGGTCATAAACAAGGGAAAGGAGGAACATCTTCCTTTTTTGCTTCCCCTAGCAGTTTCCAGAGGCTGCAGGCTGCTGCTTTTTAGAGCTGATGTCACCATAAAAAGCCTCCAGGCTTGCACCTTTCCCCTAAGTTCCCATCCCACCTCTAGTTACAGGAATTAAACAATGGAAGGAACAGGGTCTTCAGGGCACAAGAAATTAAGTAAAAGATGCCCAGGTCAGACCGTGCACAGAAAGGCTCCGTGAACCACCACCCCCCTGCCCTTTTTCGAGTGCTGCAGCTTAAACCCTGCTGTAAAAGCCCCAAAGCCGCAAGGAAGGTCTGCCCCAGCAGGGTGCAGACATGGTGAGGATGAAGTGCATCTTAAGCAGATAAGGCCAGAGCCGCTTGGGCTTTATGCAGGAGTGGGAAGGAGCACTCAGCTGTTTGGATTGTTTGTACGCCATGTCCTGTCCCCCTAAAGACAAAGTAGTGGCACCAAGAGACGCAGGATGAGGCTAATTCAAGGCTGGCAAAGGACCAGAGAAGGGGAAGGGCGAGGGGATCCTGCTTCTGCTGCCCGGTTCTTTCTTTTTCACTGCTAAAGCAAAAGTGGGAGCTTCCTCCCACTGTGCTTCTCTCCCCACTGCAGCACAGAAGTCAGAGCAGAGAAGATTGATTGTGGCTATCCCCATACCAGCCTCAGCTGAGATCTCTCTGGGATCTTGTCCTTCCCAGTGAGCTGGATTCAGAGCAGGACTGAAGCTGCCTGAGGTTTTGACATCACTTGGCTAAAACCAAAGACTCAGACACCCACAACTTTGTGTTTAGCAGCCCTGCACTCTACGACAGCGATTTCTGTGTGCTGCCTATCAGCAATGGCTGGTGTGTTTAGGACTCGTGAGCCTAGACAGTCTTGATGCTGATTCTTAAACCCATTCATTTAACCCTGAGAGAGGTCAGTAATTGTTGAATTACAGTCCTGAGAAATAAATGGCAAAGCAGGGGAGGGGCAGTGCCATTAGACATGTGATCTGGAAAGCATTTTGTAAGAGGAGTTTCTTACTGTGCTCGAAAGATCCTCTCAAATTCAGGTGGGCCAGAAGTTTTTGGAGGAGAAATGCCAAATGCTCTCCTAGCATAGATCACCTGAAGGAAGAAGTAGGCTGCAGCAAAAGAGAGAAAAGTAGCAATGGTCAGTCCTCTGTCTGGGCATGGTGGGGTCAGGAAACCGCCAGGGGTAAGGACAAAAGTTCGGCGGTATCCTCCAAACCTTTCATCCCTGCATAGGTGGATGAAAATCCCAGATTAAGTTTCAGACTAGGAAAAGGAGTGACACAGTGCAACAATGAAGCGAGGAGTATGCAGTCACGTACCACCAGTGGATATTTCCTTTCTCTCTTGCTAAATTAACAGATCATCTATTATCTATAGAAATTGTTACACAATTCATATGCACTTTGTTATGGCCAATTTTAAGCTTTTTTTCAATCTTTAATCTTTTCCCCGTCTAAATCCTGATGGCTGAGTAGGGATGGAACTGATACCACAGATAAGCCACCCAGACAGTAAATTAAAATTGTCATGCCATGTGGAACCGTGGCTGGGAGATGCTCTGTGTAACCTACCACAGCCTGTTCTTACACCTTTCCACACTGCAGTGCTCTTTGTACGCTAACATCTACACAAACCTCAGGAACTGCTGTAAACACATTTTTCAAATAGAAAAATTTGACATGTTTTCACAGGAGAAGATCTACCAAGAAATTTCTGAACTGGGGAGGTAGGTCAGTTCAGAGGAAGAGCTTCCCCAGCACTCATTTTGTTGAGTATGTTTCAAAACCCAGACAAGATATCACTCTGCTGTCTGAAGAGTGGAAAAGTGCTAGTGCAACAGCCGAAATGAAATATGGAAGTGAAAGGAAATCAGTGGAGGTACAGAAGACTGACCCAGAAGGTATTTGGTTGGGTGCATCTAATGGTCCCTACCTTGCTCCAGGACTCCCAGGACTGTCACGGCAGCCAGCAGATGAATCTGATCCAACATATTGACTCTTCCAGACCCCAGAAAATCTGATTTCCTGATCAGAAGCTCCTCTGGCCAGGTTTAGCCCTTGCTCATGTGGCAGTCGGCGGTGGTAGCTGGCAGCATAGGTTTGCTCTAATTGAATAGGGAAGATTTATATGTGGTGCTTAAACCCAGGAGGAGTCTGGCTTGTCCGTTACCGTATGCACTGTGGAAATGTAAACTGGTAGAGAGAGGTGTAATGGAGTATTTCCGTTCCCACCCTCCCTTTTCCAGGAATGCGTTACGAGGAAGTGGTAAAGCCAGCAGAGTGAACGTGAGAGATAAGAGAGGAGAACTGGCAGCTGAATGGGGGCAAAAATCTCAGCAGCCCAACAATCCCCTTCAGGCATCTCATTTAAAACTGCTGCTAATGAAGGCCAAGGCACATCCCTCTTGCTGACGTTGTATGAGAAACCACAGCACCACTTGGCCCGTTCTGCGCCACTTGAGCGTGAGGACAGGCAGCATTTCATGGTACGTATCATTGCGTGCACAGGCTCTGGAAAGTGCGTTGGGCACAGAGCATGATTTATGGCCATGACACTGAGACAGCGTCAAATAAAGCCCCCGAGTGAAAAACCCACTGCAATGGTAAAACAGGATGTGATAAAGTATAAAAGGTACAGATCTGTCTTGCATGGTGATACTTTATTTGAGGATGGGTTCAACAGAATGACTGTCAGACATCAAGAGGGTTTCAGAGCCAGCCCTTGTACTGGAAGGACTGGGAGCCGTGCATTTAAAGCTTCTGATCAGTCCCCAGCCAAATTAACTCTCATTGTAAACACCAGAGAGAGTTTTGTGTGAGTAAAAACCGGCAGAACTCATCAGGATATAGCAAAAGGAAAATGGTGTTTTAACATGTCAGGAGAGACCCACTCGGTCAATTCCTGACTAACAACACAAAGCTGGCACGGCTGTGAGCTGCTGAGGCTGCCGGCTTTGTTTCCTTCCTCTCCCTTCATTCGAAGAATTTTCCTTTCGGACAAAGAAAAGCGGATTAAGACAAAATGATCGTTAAATGTCACTATTATAGAAAATAAAATCAGATTAAAGCAGTTTACAGAAATTACAACATATGCCTGATGTCCTTGATAGACCTTCTAAGAGGCAATAAGCTGGTTCCATTTTTCTGCCTCTCTATAAGAGATAAAGGCACCCAAAGAGGCTATAACAATGTCCCAGCTTAGTATTTCTCCAAATATCAAACACAGACACTACTGTTTTTCAAGCACCAGCTCTAAGATTAATTCTTTCATCTCAGAATCGGTCCTTTTTCATTCCAGTGACTGTTTAGAAATACAAGGAACATTGTGTTTTGTTTTCTCCCATTTAGCTGTCAAAGAAATTAAGGACTTTCCTGTGTCAGCTCAAAAAGGGCAGAGGTCTTGTGGTGCTTTGATTTCCCTCTGTTTCTGTCTGATTACAACCCACTGGCAAGTACAAAGCAAAACAAATGAACAAAAAAAGATCCAAGCTTACACCTCCATTGGATGACAGTGTTGCATAACCTGCATCAAAAGTGTCAAATATGTGTAAAGAAACTTGGGCCAGGAGGAGGTGTAAAGGCTGCTACAGAGCACTCCTCCTCCCTAGATCATCATTAGATGCAAAATACTTCTAGTGTCATCTAGCGTAGTCTAAATATAATAAAGGCTAGTAGAAACATGAATGAATAAACGAGCACAGATGTCTCTCCCCTCCTCCTCCCTCCCCCACAAGCATGATTTTTCAAGCTGTCTTTACCTCCTGAAGGGCACAACATTTTTCTTGTCCCTGTTTGTCACCATCAGAACTCGCCTTACTTTCCGTTCTCACTCAGTGTTTGCGAGGAGCAGACACAAGTACCCTCCTCCCAGCACCAAATGCCCTTCAGTGACGGGACTCTCACCGGTGGAGAACCTCAACATCCTGCAGACCACAGTGGCCACCAAGGTCCCTGTGTGGAGGATGCCACAGCAGGCTCCAGCTAGCAGACATGTTTCCCCTCGCCCCCCTGGCCCCCACCACCTTCCTGCTGTTTGCATCCAACCTAACAACTACACAACTGCACAGTGACTCGGATCACGCCACTGGATGGAACAGAAAACTCTCTGGTCCGCAAGAAAAGGGCAACCTGCTTGCAGGCGCCTCGGTGAGCCCAGCTGGCTCCACAGCCACCATATCCCTGGGCCCCACTGGAGGAGAGGGGCAGGAGGGGCAGCCGGGCTGGGGAGATGGGGACAACACGTCACTGCTGTCATCATCTGCCTGCAATGACACTGGAATAAGCATATTGCAAAACCTCACCCTCCGAGGCTGACACGGCCGAATTTCCTCCTCAGCAAAGACAAGGTCTGCGGTCCCAGGCTCACTTTGGGATGGATTAGCTGAGCGCGATCTAACGAAACACGGTTCCCCTCTCCCCCTTTCTGGTGTGTACTCTGCTCTCCGGATCACATCATGTGAATGTGGCCATGCATCACAGGGCGGCTGCACTCCTCTCACCTCCCACCTAGTCATCACTAGAGGCATTTCTCTGTGCCCACGGTTGCTTCTGCCACCTCTTCTTGCATCCATTAATCCTTTTTGCCTCCTAATTACCACTTCAGGGCCACACTGTGAGCTGGATTGCAACACCAACCCGGATTAAAAATAATGTTCAGAAGAAAAATAAGCAACACAAAAGGCTTGGAAGAGTTTTAAGCATCCGCAGAGTCTGCAGTACCTATTACTCTCCAGCAGCAGCGGGGCAGGGAGAAGCCAGCAGCACTGAGTCCAGCACCATTACATGCAGTAACATCCCCCTAGAAATGTATTTCATGAGAGTACAATAGACTAAGAACTTTCTGTTAGTGGAAGAGGAAACATTTTGCAGCCGAGCAACTTACCCTTCAGCTGTGAAGCATGGAGGTGCCTCGTCCTTCCAATCTGATTGTAAAAATGGGAAAGTATTTTCTAATCGAGTTGATGGTTGTGCTTCCTTTCCCTTTGAATTCTTTTGCAGCCACTGAGAACATCCAAACCCATGACCATGGAACTGCTTGTGAGAACAATGTGTCTTCTGAACAGCCGCAAAAAGAGAGAGGTTTTCGTTCAAAAGAATTAAAAGCCACACAGAGAGAAAAGAGTTTTTCTAGTTCAAGAGAATGAAAGAGAGCTCAGCCCCGAGCACCTCAGTCTGTTCAGCTATCAGCTCCCTCAGGCTGGGCTGGTGGGGCTGGCGACGCCTTCCTGACCTCCCATAACTGTGGAGCCTTCTGTTAACTCAGACCAACATGTGTTGATATTTTCCTGGAATTCTTGGATTTGCAGCTGTAAGAGGAAGGACGGGCTGAAGACATGTGAAGATGAGGCCAAATTACGATTTCATCCCTTACAAAGAAGCGGTTGGCCACATGTGGCTGCTCCTAGGAAGTAGGGGCAGCTGCAGGCAATTTCTGCTCTGTGGTTCCCACCGGGGCTCCCAGCAAAGCACAGGCTGGCTCAGATCTCCCGAGCATTTTGAAATGTGCCCTGGGTTCTGCATTTTGCAATAACCATAAAAAATTTGCATGACAAGTATTACCATGTCTTCCTAAAATAGGCATCTATACAGAGGCTCCTTCTTTCAGAAAGTAAAACAGCAGGCTTTGCCAACAACATCCAAGCTGGAGTTATGCAAAGCATCCCTCGGAGTACAAACTTAGTATATACTGGAGATGTGCATTAGCGTGTTCATCTAGATGGATTTCAGACAGATATTCCTGAGATTTACATATCTCTGGTTTGTCAAAGAGGTCACGTAAATGTTCTCAAATAGTTATGGCAACATTTCTAAGGGCCAAACCAAGCTTCTTTAGGCTGCATTAGCTCTCTGCTTGAATGCCACTGCGTGGAGCAGGACAGCACTTCTCATCTCAGTAAAGGTGATGGGCTTCACTTTAATGGTAAAATGGGAAAAACATTCAAAGCCATTTTCTAAAATCAAGATAGAAAGCTGAAGGAAACTACATAAATGAGTATATGATACTCATGTCTGAGTATATGATACTCATTTAGTTAGGGGTAATTTGGAGAAGTTTTTTAAAAGCTTTCTTCTGAAGGGTTTTTGTGAGCTTTATCTGTATGCATATGAAATCTGACTAGAGGGCACATCAGAATAAAAGCAATTCCAAAATTCTCCCCTTAACCTATCACCAAAAGGCACTGATACATGCGAATGAATGATACCCCTTCTTTTATGGTCAACATCTGTTAAAAATACTAGGGGAATTAAATCCCTCTCTGGTCCTGCCTTCTCTTGCGTTATTGTCACATGAGGAAACTCCTTTCCATGTGTTTTGCCAATTTTCCTACTTCCTTTTCAGCAGAATGTCATAAATAACAAATAAACAAAAAAGATCAACGTCAGAAAGGCAACTGCACTTCTGGCTAGCTTGAAGATGAAGGAATTTCTGCATGGATAAGGGCGTATGACAGGGAGGGGGAGGATTTCCCTTTGCGGAGGGACAAACAAGCCTTTCCAACATCTTTGGCAGCTCTTATGTTAACACACACTTAGAATTATCCTATAATGATGCAGGGAAAAAAAATTGCAAGACTACAGGGCACATCAAAATACATCAAAGGCTCAAGAATGGTCATGGAGTGCAGCTTCCCTTTCCCTAAATTACAGGGGTGAAGAAATAGAGCCATGTAGCTTTTCTATCTTGTTTGGGCCAGAAAGCCAGAAGCTGGCCAGCCCTACACGCTTATGAGATAGGGCTGGGCAGGGCATTGGTGAGGACCTGAGCAAGGGCATTTTTTAGGGATTGGCATTCCTGATAGGTCTCCTGTAAAGGAGAGACCCTTGGCTTGCTGGGCATGGGGGAAGAGTGGGTGGAAGTTGCCTGAACTGGGGAGGTGTCGCTGTGCAGGGTTATCTGCAGGGATGGGGCAGTCGGGAGGGCAGTTGTCCCTCTGCTGTTGCAGTGACTTTTCACACCAAAGGCCTCTCTCACGTGGGGTTAGGGAAAAGGAGGAGTTTTGGGGAGACAAAGAGGTGGCCTGGGGGGAGATGTGCAGTGGGTGGAGTGTGATGTGGACCGAGATGCAGGCTGGGCTGCCCGTGCCCAAGGCCAGTTCTGTAAGCGAGGACCACACCACTGGGAAGACAGCGAGCTGCAGAAAACCTCCGTGGGGTCCCTGGTTTGATTAGGAGCTGCATTTAACCTCAAGCTCTTGTGCTGTTTTTGCCATGGCCACCTGTGTCTGGCCATTTGTCTCGACCCTGAGCTTGGCTTCCTCAGACATCACTCATCATGATGGACTGGCACGGCAGTCTCTGGGCTGTGTCTGTCCTGGTGACCCTCACTGCAGGGCTGGGCACTGCAGGATTGTGCCTGGTGGGACCCATGTCTGCTCTGTGTCACTCTGTCTGTTGCCCTGGGCCATGGCTGAGCTGGATAAACACAGAGGATGAGACCACAGAATTTCCAGCCATCGGCATGGGACAAGTGACAAGGCCAGCAGAGGAGCTTGTGCAAGGGCAGAAGGCGCTGGGGGCCATGCAGCCGGGTGCTTTAGGACAAAGACAGATGTTCCTGTAAAGCTCCTCTGACGTCAGTGGTGTTAAAAGGTTTTGAAATACATCTTCAGAAGGAACCAAAGGCAGATGCTGTGGATGAGAGCAGGTCATCTTTGGACTGTTGTTCTTTGAACTCTTTTGTTCTTGTGCCCCCAGAACATGCCTGAGGGGACAGAGCACCCGGGCAGGGAAGGAAGCCCAGGTACTGGGTGGGATGCTGCCAGCGAGGGATACACACACCGTGCTGCAGCTGCGAGGCTGTAAGTGCAGCGTAAGCAGTGAGAAGAGGCTGCCCGGGTCATGTAAACATCTGAACCCGGAGGAACAGAACGAGCTCTGTCCCTTCTCCTGTCTCCAAAGGAGAAGTTAAACAGAGCTGGCCTCCTGCTGGCAAAGGACCAGGAAGCCGGCAGCAGCCACGAGACACAGGGGCAAGACACAAGTCTGGGAGCAGACAGGTTTCTGGTTACTGAGTGCTACTTCTTGTAGCCTTTGTGTGTCAGAGCTTGATCTGGGCATACTCACCGGTGTGGCAGCTGTGGGGAGAGCTGGGGACAGTCTCTGGGGAGAGGTGATGCGGGAGCACGACTCCTCCGGCCTCACATGGAGCCCAGACGCACATGAAGGCTGACCCAGCTCTGCTGTCCATCGGCAAGGGCAGGGAATGCCTACGCCAGTGTCTCAAGTTGGGGGGCATCATTTAGAGTACCAGAAGAAGAGGCTCCTTCTGAGCCTTTCCCTTTCTGTCCCCGCTCCTGGCTTGCAGAACTAGGCTAGAGCAATGCTGGCGGTGCCACTGGGACCAGGCACCCAACCTGGCATCAATTGTCCTTCCAGCACCTTCTGAGCAACTTCAGCCTCTCCAGCTATGGGGGTGGCTGGGCCACAGAGGCAGGCAGGTAGGTGCTGTGACATCAGGTAGTAAGCCAGGACAGAGAGACAGACAGACAGGGGCTCTAAATTAGATAATCTTGCTCTTCCCAGAGGCTTTGAAAAGCAGCTGATGAGCTCAGCAAGAACAGGGAGCTTTTGCAAAAGGTGAGAAACTGCCTCTCAGCAGTCACAAAGCAGTGACCAATCCCACACTGGGACAAAGGAATTGTTTTAAAACCAGCTGAGTTTATTTTTGGGGTGTGAAATAGTTGCATGATGCAATTGTGTAAAAGAATAGAACTACCAGAAACAGTGCTAAGTACCAAACTTGCCTGCACACCCTTGCTTTTAACCACTGAAAGGCTGAAATGAAATTCAAGTGATGTTACTTTGCAGAGCATCTGCCCCCCAAAACCTGGAGGTGGGATGGGTGGTGTCTGTAAGTGCTCTGACCAGACAAGTGACACTGGGCAGTTATTGAGTTCCTGGTTAGAGCTGTGCTACTGGTATCCTGGAACTCTGCTGGGGGAAAAGGCATAGAGAATCCTCTGTAATCTGAGGATATCTTATAGCCCTTACACAAGAAGTATTTCACCACTTCCAGTTTCCTGACATAACTTCACTGCCCTCTTCCAGCGAGATGCATTCAGTGTGTGTTTTAAGGAAAACTTGCTTGCTTAGTGATACAAATCCCTCCCCGAGCCATCATGCTTTCAATACCTCATCTGCAAAACATGTAGATGTACTCTTTGATTTGTGCCTGTGACAGCAAGAAGCAAGATGGACAGTACTGGGACGTGGATCCCACTGCCCTTTGCACCACACTTAAGGAAACATCTTTCCTAGCATCCATCCATCAGCTCCACACTGCAGAGGACTGGGATGCTGTCTCGTAACTTTGCATGTCTTGGTGGTAGCCACCCCTGCTAAGCAAATTCTCAATGCCCAAGTCAGTGCTCAATGCCTCCTGCCTACCCAGACTT